TTTATTTTAAAACAACATAATATTCAATATACATACACGGAACAATATAATCAACGTAATATACAATCAAGTTATTATAAAAATATAGGTGTACATATTATACGTTTATAAATCGTATAAACATAGATAATCCGATACTGGGCACATAGAGAGGAAATCGGCGAGCTTCGGAAAATTGAGTCGACGAGCTACGAGTGGGGCGTCGCCACGCCATAGTCGGTCTCACTACTGTACCGCGCTATAAGATGTTTCACATAAAAAATGAAACATTCACCAACAATAAATCATTATTATAAATAGTACCTATAGTAAAAAAATCAGTGTATTATTTAAGATTTATCATAATTTACCACTAGTTTTGGTAAATGAAATCAATGACCAGTGAAAGATGTACATTTGAATTTAAAATCTGGTTTTTTACATCATTTACCTACATAATCGAATCATTTTGGTAAAAGACGTCATTCACCAATATTCATCTTTCACCGTAACATATATTATAATTTACTCATGTACCTAATGCAGGCATAATAAAGGTACAGTTTATAGTCTTATACTTTCTTCTAATGATTAATTAAGTTGCTGTACCTATTGTAGTACTTCCAATATTATGAGTTTACATATATTTTTTCCAATCATAAAAATATTATCTATATCAGCAAAATAGGTCATAAGGGAGACCCGGAAAAGTGAATATATTCAGAACCAAAAAGTTACAATAAAAAATGTTTTTAAACTTAATCCACTAATAAAAAATGTTTAGTAGATATCAGTAGTTATCCTAATTTATGGGCCTTCAACTTGGAATTCACAATAGGTAGTCAATGTTATAACTTTAATGAGGAATATTTTTATTTTTTTTATTTTTTTTTTTTTAATTAAATTATTCACTTTGCCTAGGTTTACCCGAACAAAGATAAAACGACTTTAGGCAAAGCGAAAAAGTAAAACTATTTATTTAAAAATAATAATTATAACATTTAAGTTATTTTAACTTACTATATTACTATTTAATTCATTATCTTGACGCAGTAGCAATAGTAAAATTAACATCCAAATGAGGTCTGCACAGCCATTTTGAAAATTAAAAATAGTTCACCAAGTGATTATTTAACACGATTACTTAATTAATTTGCGTGTAAAACCTTAACGTGTGTGGTGGAAACGTGGAGTGCTAGTTTACTGAGTTAAATTGGTTTCATTAAACAAATGTAAGACACGCAATTGTTGCACGGGATTATCAGGATTCAATAGTGTTTGAGTCACTCTCCAAGTAAATACCTATATAATGAAAATCTCGTATACGCTGCTGCTAAACAATGATCTTAAACGACGTTTTACTATTGATCTTGATTCTTGCCGGCCGTATAATAAGCGAATTACTAATAATAATCTTTATCGGACGGCGTTAAATATAGACTACTAAACGTACACAACGACTATCAACTATTGGTTTTCCAAACATCTTATCATTAAAAATTGTACGTTATAAACCGAATAGCGTTAAAGTAAATACTTTGCGGAATGAAATTCAATACTGCGGTGAATGTGTAAGTGTGTAAGATCAAGAATGCACACTGTAGAAAAATAGTGATACGTTTTCGGGTTATGCATTTCTATACTACAGAAATTACTCGACTTTAACGCTTCAGGCTTCAGCTGTTTTGACAGCTGTTAGCTATCTGCAGCAGATGATTATTAATCAATAATAATATATTTATTTTCATGAAAAATCGTTGCTTAAACGAAATCGAGTGAAAGTATTATACATGTATAAATATAATGCATAAAAAACACTTGGAATCATAAGCAATAAACGGTCCATATTTTTCGTGGAAAACCCAGTGTAATATAATATGTATTTAATAAATATTTTAAAAACTATTAATATTTTCGTAATAAATATACGTTGAATTGTTATGAATTAAAAACCGTCCGCTACCACCAATCGAAAAGTCGTGTAATATGGTTTGAGTTCGACTGACTGATCGCGATGTACGACATAATGCCGACCAACATAATAAACTAAACACAGTCACGTATATATTTTTATTTTTATCGATTACGATATTATATACTGATTGATAACAAGATTACGATATTTTTAACTCAAATATTATGTTGTTATTTCTGCAGGAGCATTACTAATCAAGGAAATCAAATCTGTGGTTAAACCTAATAAAAATGTATCTACCAAACCACGCCATTATAACTACAGAAACCCATTATACTATCGAAATCTAATGAATATATACGAATAGATGGAAAGAAAGGTATTATAAAGCAGAACTACTATTCTAAAAACAACCTAACGCATTTGGACTTTGCACCGACATCTGATTCAGTGCAGCATGACAGATTTAAAGTATGAGAAGAGCGATCTCTGTGAAAAATACCATATCGTTTTTATTGTACAGATCAACTATTGTTTTAAAAAAGAAATCTGACACGGCTGACTGACAAAAATAATAAGATAAGATGTAATGGAAATTCAGTATACAGATCTCTATGTAACTACTAAATCCTATACAATGTGCCAGCAATATGAGGGTTTACGTGCGCATCTCACGACGTCTTATAATTTAACATCTCCGCAAATGATATTATAATACAGCTAATATACTTAAGTACCGCTTTTACGAGTGAAAAATCTTTATCGTTTCTATAAACAGTTACATCGATTAGTGTAATATAGGACCTACTTTTAGACATTTATTACGTTTTCATTCCACGCCCGAATACGAGGAAATATTAAGTGAAAATATGATTATCTTTTACGAGGTATAATTATTATATGTATGTATTATACGGAATACATATTAAATAAATATATATATATATATAATAATAGACCATTTTTCATTTTTTTGACGCCACTTTGAACTTTTTTACGAGTTTATTTTTCATTGATTTGTTCCAAATACTTACTTGAATGTCCCCGCGTCACCCATTTTAAATTTTTGTTCAAACCTAACCCGAGGAGAGGATTTCAACGTACTTAGATATACTGCGTTACTTATGATACTATTAAACTTTTTCAGTTTTTTTTTTTTTAATAAATTGTTCTTAATACTATTCCAAATACCATATTGTTAACAATTTCGACAAAATGTGCTATAGAAGAACAAAATATTTTGACAAAAAATATTAAAGATTTACCAAGAATCATTCAACGATTTTCTAGTTCAATTAAGAAAGGTTCAGTTTCTTACAACTAAAGTTTGTTTTATAATGACAACAAATAAGGCGCCAAGTCAAAAATTAGCACATTGTAGAGTAGATTTGGAAAGGAACTGTTTCTCATGTGAACAATTGTGTATTGCGTTTTCTAAAGTGAAAAACTGATCATTTGTACTATAATGCAACACAATACAAAACTTTGAATGTAATATATCAAGAAGTTTTGACTTAGTTATTTGTTAGTGTAGAACTTCATTCAGAGTTATTATAGGTATTTGTAATAAAATTAATATACAAACGTATAAATGGTCAGTACCTACTTTTAAAATTTACAATATCAAACATTAGTTTTTCTAATATTAAAATACAAATACAAATTATTTGTAGATACTGCTAATATAATATGTTATATTTTCTTACATAACCGTTGTATAAAATCAATTGTAAATATCATAAATTTAAATTTAAATAGTTTGTAGGGGTATCACATTTTCTTATTAGATAACATACGGGCGAAAACAAATAATACTCAAGTAGTAATTATATTTGCAATGTAAATAGTTAGTACTGGGATATAGGTAAGCTCTTACTTATACATGTACTATATGTAATTTTATGTCAGTGTTTGACATTGAAACTACATTATATGCGAGTATGCAACGTCATATAACATGTTATTATTTATTAGGTATATTAGTTACAAATGGAAATGTAATGTAATACAATGTGTTCAGTTAGTGTAATCGAAGATTTTTATTTGTTCGTTGATTTTCCTATAAACGCACAATACAATGTGTAACGAGACAAAACGGGAGGTCATCTGGTGACCCGTTATATTATCTCGTTACCAACATTGAACGCCACAAGAACCGCCGCGCACTCTGACGGACATCCTCATAAAACGGGCGCACAAATAGTGTCCCGCCGCAACATAGATAGCACGGAAAAAATATATTGTCTTAAACGGCCCGCCGCCCTTACAGAAAAATGATTTCCCCATGAAACCCAATACCTTAGAGTCCAACTAGGTGAATAGTCAGAATCACCAGTTTCTGAACTATTAAACCGCATTATTTAATATATACGAATCTCCAATGAAACATACATATCAGTAAGAACGACAAGTGCAAAAGTACTATAGAAGATCCGACCATAAAGAATATAAGTACAAGCCAGTATACCGTCTAAAAACACCTATTTTTCCCCGCTGAGTGCGGTATATCGTGTATCTGGACGGTTTTAATACGCCGTTATTTACAGGTACGATTACCAAGCGAAATACAGCAATAACCCCAGTCTGCACACTCCGGACGGTTGTTAAACGCCGTTATTCACGGAGGTGTGCTACAGACTTGCCAACGACTTAGTCGTATTCACGTTCCCTTCTTTGTATCATACTGAGCAGAGGCTAACCAGTCCGCCAGAACATACCGAAGCCGAACATATTCAAAATCAACGTAGAGCCGCCACCAGCAGAGTTGAGCCGCCGCGTGACTGTGAAAGTAGCAAAATCAAAAAGACTACCGGAAAACAACCGTGAGTTATATGTCACCGATTCCCACCCTTTTATGTAAACCCCAATATATATTATTTTATTTGTAAACTCTTATGGAGTATAGTATAAATTCCAAAAAAGGAATATCAATTGTAAAATCTTTAATGAAATTTACTGTTGTCAAAATTAATTACAAATATATTATCTTGCGTTAAAATTGTACGACGGTATTTCATTACAAATGTAGTAAGTGTTTAAACAAAGTATATTATAATTTATAACAAACGTTTAAAGCTGCACATTTTATACATTAAACATGATAAATTTTATGTACAAAATGCGCGTATCTTCGAATTTGAAAGAGAAACTATTATTATGGTAGGCGAAATTAAATCCGTACAACACAACGATTAATTCGTCACCGCAAGTTATATAATAATAATAATAATAATAATCATACAATATTATAATATTATTTCGGTTCGGGAGGAAAACAGCTTCGGTGCAAGACATCCAATACTGTAATCATAAAGAATAAATCCCTCTGGATTTTACGGTTCTATTTTCATGAACTTCCGTGATGTAGACATCATAAAATTAGTGTTCACGAATCTGTAGCAGTCTGTTCGAACTAGGATAGTTTAATATCGTCGTCGTAGCGTGCCGCCAGACGATCTGTATGACGCCTATAATACAACGCCACGACACCTTCAGGTCGTACCATCGACTCGAAATCAAAGTCTCGAGGTTAGATAAGTTCGACATAAGTTGTACATAATGTAACATTATTTTTTAATACAAATGTAACAATTGATACGTTTGTTTGTGCGTATGTGTGTGTCATGTGTGTATGTGTGTTATAAGCATTCTATATATATATATATATCGAGTCCTTTGTGGTGCACACGTATCATACATACATAAATAAGTATGATATTCATCGGCGACAGCGGTGGCGGCAATGCGTCGCTTCTACTGCAGGTATGATGTATCCATATGACTAGAACGAAATTCGAAAGCTATCGTCGTCTATATATTATGTTAAAAACGTAATACTGTATATACGCCACAGCAGTCTGAAATAAATAATAAATGAAATATATCATTTTATAATTATTTAAAATCGAGCTTAGTAAAAAATTAGTAAATAAATAATAATAAATAACCAGGGCTTGCAAACGTTATGGTTATAACGTTAAATTTGATAAAAAACGATTGAGATTTGTAACGTAATTATAACGGAAAACGATAAACATAAATAGTTAAATAACACAGAACAAAACACAACGATTAACAAAATATATGATGTGTCATAAAACAAAACGTTAAATATAGTATATATCATTAAATAAAATAATTAATTTCCAATTGTTCAATAGTTATAATTTATAAAATATATTAAAAATTTTAATTCTGAATAACGATAAACGCTAATGTCGAATAACGTTTTAATTTTGAATATAAATAATTTGTATAACTTTTAATTGTAAATAAGGTAAAACAAAATTTTTTTTTCAAATGCAAGCCCTGTAAATAGCCACTATAGAGTTAATTATAAATCATATCTCACTGAGTTAAATAACAATTAAACAAAAATTCAGACTTTTAAATATGCTTATATTAATAAACCTATATGATCTTATGAATAAAATAAAATAACATTTTATTTTTATCTAACTATATTAACTAAATATTAATATGTCTTTAATATTAACTATAGTCAACGATTTTCATGAAATATATGGACGGCCGTATGATGTCAAATAATATGAAATACGAAATCGTTAATATTTTATTTGGTCATCTGGTGGACCAAACTGATACAGTTAATTTACTGCAGTCGGATTATAGAAAGTGCGCGAATTCGATTTAATAAAATATTCATTGTTATGAATTATGAATATTTAATGATAGCGGTATACCTATATGATATAATTTTCTTGATCAGATGGAGGGTTTAACCTCTATCGTCCCACTCTGGGCACGCCACTATTGATAGATACCTATATGTGTAATATAATTATTAATAAACATATCACGGTTGGTCGGTGAGGTTAGGTTAATTTTTAAGTTTTATAATATTATAATCATCCTCGAATTGATTATAGTTTAAATCGTAAAATTATAGGAAACCCACGACTTCACAAATCGCCACTGAATTTGAGTAGCTGTAAGATCATATACCACACACACATATAAATTATACACTTACCGTTGCCTTTCAGAACAACATGTTCTGGAACCATCTCCAAGGGCTTGTTTTGCAAATCGCCTTCTGCGTTGGGCACCCAAAACGTCTCAAGCACAAGGCCAGCTGTTGATCGCACTCGCACAACCGCTGACTGCAACCACCTCCTAATGCTACGTGAGCAACAGTAAGACATATGATATTATATATATTAAAATATTACAACGTTACATTACAAATCGTATGATAATGCGGTTATATCGTGAACGTTTGATTTATAAACTACATCAATTACTATGAAAGAGTTTTTTTTACAATCCGACTTTTTAGTCTTTTATTTCATGTAATACAATACTTTAAAAAAAAAAAAGTTCAAAATACGTACATGACATTACATTGGTTGAGTGTAAAAAGTTACAATACTCTAATATATTACTACCTACATGGACCGTATGTATTCTAATTGTATAAGTCGATGCTTTTTATTTAAACGCCAACGATATAAACGTATAAATAGTGAAGGATCTAGGTGAAAAAATGACTTTAACTAAATAATAAAAATAATATGCTGGTTAATAGTAAAATATGTAAATGCACCCCACGTCACCCCGAACGTCACATTTGGTGTGTTATACCTAATATAGGTATTGTTCGGTCCTCGTCGAAGTAATTGTGATTTAGTCGATTATTTTAAACATCTATGATTAAGAATATGGATTCACGTTTAAAAACTACGCCATTTCAATAAATTTTGTGTTTGTAATTTATACGAAATCTTAACCGTTATCTGTTGTGGCTAATGTCTAATACCGTTCTCGACGCTCGTAAAACATTTGGAGGAGGGAGAGTATAAATCGAGAAAACATCGAAATAAGAAAACAAAATAAAGATTAAACGAGTAACGGATCAATCCATAAGACGAGTAAGCCGATTTCCGAGCTTGATGTCAATTACGGTACTGTGCTTTATAATAATAAATACCGCGAAAAACTTTCTAACGCGATTTTAACGTTAATATTGTAAAATTGCATCAATATTTCCCCATTTAAATAACCCGTTTGAAGGCCAGTATTGTTATTATTTTCTCGAAAACTTATATGTACAATAAAAATATGTTATTATGTTGTACTCGACACATTCGGTTTTTATTTCGGAATAATAAACCAGACGACTATAGTAGGTATCCATATAATATTATAAAACACAGGTCAGGACGTCGGGTTATACATGGGTTTGTCATACTATAATGCATAGTTATATGTGCATAGTACCTATATTTTTAAGGTAAAAATAATGATCGCTTTGAATTATATTGTATTTTATAATTATAATTTTTTGTACACTTCTCTACAGGAACTTTGTTCGTTGAAGTATTTTTCCCTTTGTTATATAATCTGGACGATTATTTAAAATATATACTTCTACATGTACAATTGCTGAGAAGCACAGGTAATATCTAATTATTATAATAGTCGGTATACATAACACATATTATTGTATTGTTTCGTGGACGTATTTAACGTTTTATGTTTCGCCGCTTCTCCTTTTTTATACGGAATTTTGCAAAATTGTATTTATTATTTGCAGCTATATCGATATGGTTATATATAATAATATATAGGTCTGTTTATTTCCGAATAACACGCGGAATATATATTCTTAATTTCTATTTTCTATCAATAATATATATTTTATTCTTATTCTTCTTCTTATTATTATTATTATTATAGTTTAATTATTCCGGGCCCCTTTCGAATAGTAAAAATCTTTCACTTTTTATTTTATAATACTATGTATAATATAAAGAATAATGCCTATATTCATATTCTAATTATTTAGAACTAAATAGCGTTTTTACCAACAATACGTACGATTTATTTTTAATGATTCTTGGATCATTAGCAATTTATTGGATTTAACCTATCTATGCAATATGCACTACTGTCATATAATATTATTGTACTATCCTTTATAGACTAGGTATATGATTGACATTTTCAGAGTTGCAGTTTTGATGTCCCGTAGATTGACGACATGTTTTAATAATCATTTATTTTTTTTTTTTGATATTTTGAATTTGTTTAATAAACACGCTACAAAAAATTCACATTTCATCGCATTATTGCGTCAAAAACATAACGCAAATTTTATATAATATTACAATATAGGAGTATAAACATGTTATTTTAATTATTTTGTTTCTCCAAACTAATAATCCGATGTGACGGTATAGCTACCAATAAAATAATTACGCATACGATACAATCGTTGGAATAAAGAATACTGTAAATTAAAACTTTATAGCCATGGGGGCATTTTTTTTTTTTTTTTTGTGATCATGTGTAATAGACAAAGGTAGATTGTGATGTGTTATGTAGGCAGTTGAATTTTGTTTAAAACTGTTACTTATAAAAATGTATGTATAAATATAAATAAATAATTTATTATAAACTCGTTCCGTGTTTTGGAAACTTCGCTGCCGACAATAGCATTGATCTTAATTACAGTGTAAAAAATAATATGGACGTACTGTCATAAGTTGGTTGAAAAAGTATTTTTATCACAATACAAACACGACGTCTTTGTACACATCATAAACGTTGCTGTTTTATTCGTATTGTCGTATTGTTTTAAATTCGTTAGCTATGAATACGATTGTCTTTTTACATTTTTACTCAACTATCATAATCATTATGTTATTACAGCAAAATATCCACGATCGAATTGTTTTTAATTTGTTAATGATGTACTTACAACACAACGGTTTTTTGTTGTAGCACGTCCATACGTACGGCGTAAAGTATTCAAGGAACATTGGGCAATCGGCACTGTCGTAGCACCAATCGTGCATTTTGCAGCAGCTAAAAATTGCCCGAAAAGAACAAAGCAAAACAATATGAATTTTCGTCGTTTAACGAACGACAAATAAATTTATTGTGTTTATTAACTTGTCTATGGGATCAACCGGCGATCCAGAACCCAGGAAACCGCAGTAACAGCCGTAGCCAAGGTAAGAAATCGGATTGCAACCGGTAGCGCACACGACCATATTGTATAGCTGATATACACTCCTTTTAGGTCTAAAACAATGCAAATTAATAACAGAAATATTAAATAATGTTGACCTTCTAAATATATGTAATTGTAGGTAATTAGAGCAAGGACTCTCGTGCAGCATTTGCATACATTTTGTGTTGATGATTGTCTTGTATACGAGCATTATACATGGGTTTATACACATGGAATATGCTATACAGCGTTTTAACTACTACGTCTAGTTAAAATATTTGTGTATAATAATTTATACATTGTTATTGACGATTTTTTTATCATATAACAGACAATATCATATAATAAAGTATGATGGCTAATAATATTTGTATATTGGAAAAAGAAGAAAAAATAGGAATATTTATTTTATTATTATATTATTTGGTATGTTTGAGTTAAAAAGAAAAGTCATATCGCAACCTATGGATAAGTTATTGGCTCATGTGAGATTAAAAAAAGAATTATCTTTAGTATATTCCGAGGTTAGATCTATTTAACGTAAGTCACTCATTATTATAAAATCTACGTTTTTGAAAACATTTTCATAGAAATAACATATATACATATAAATTATTAGTTATTATCATTATTATTAAGTATCATTTTTTTTTTTTTTTGTTAATAATGACAACTATAACTATATAATTCTCTATTTCAAAGCAGAATATTTTTAGGGTACTTTGATGTATAAAAATCGAATTTTTAAAGAGTATAGATAGTTTATGATTTATAACTATATAAGTATTCTAGGTGAAGATAAGTGGAATGCAGTAGGTTTTTTAGCAAAATATTGATTCACTCATAGACTTTAAATAAACATAACATTTTTCATAACTTCTTCGAAATTTCTTTTTAATATATTTTAATACTCTGAATACATACTTGAGAATATGAAAATATACTGAATATGGGAATATGGAATCAAAAACATTCGTTTCGATTAAAAATAAGTAAAAATTTAAATGATAACGATCAAAATAATAAGAATACATTTGTTTCCCTAAAAGTGTTATTTTGTAATGACTCAAATTATATAAAATAACTAGGTATTTTGAAAGCTGTTAAAATATTCTGAAATTATGAATGTCTTATGTTAAATAGATCACCTCGTTTATTACATAACATATGTAACATACATTACAAATACACCACTTAATTGTGCTCTATTTTCATACCTGTATTGGTTTTTACCACCGGATTGGCCGGTCTCCAACAAGGCCGAAGGTCCCCACGGGTTGTTAGTGTAGCTAACAAAGATTTCTATGGGCACGGAAGTGCCGTTTTTGTGGTGTATTTTTCGAGCTAAAGTGTTAATATCTGTAAAAATAAAAAAAGAGAACCAATGGTAATATATGATGTATAGATAACATGACTTATGTTCTTGTATGTACTTGTGTGTGTGTATGTGTGTGTACTGTGTAAATAATACTATTGTGTGGTAACTTTCCATAAGTCGCATTTTACGATTTGTTAAACACTATTGATGTAAGATCTGATTGATTGATTGATTGATGATGCGTGTGTATATAATTTACGAAGAATCTATACCCATGCGGGCGACGACGACATTACACGCGATAATATTTGAAAGATCAAAAATCCGCGAAAGCGCAAGCTATACAATTTTTTTTTACGCTCCAATTTAAAGAGAAGAACCAATTTTTGCTTTTTTGTGTTATTATATTAATTCCAATATATTGTATGTTGTAGTATAACAACGGTTAGCGGTCAAAAAACCTTATGGTCTTGTATTATAAAAATTAATAATTCTGTCCAAAAGGTTTTAACTTTTAACACTATAACTTTAGTCTTTAGCATATAGTACGACAACATCTAACCTTTAAAAAAGTTACATAATTTTTTTATCTTAATTTTAAAATATTTGTTTTTTTTTTTTAACACTATACGTTAAACGACATCGTAAAAATACTTTTTTTATATATTTCGAATATCTTTTTACTTTTATGAAAATATAAAAAGTGTATAATCTGCAAATGCGTTGTCAAAAATAATAAGACTTAGTGGTTTTATAAAAAGGAGCGTTTACAACTTAAAAGAATATATTTTAAATACTTTTATTGAACTATATTTTACAGAATTTGAAAGCGGGTTCGTATAGGACGTGGGTAGTAGTACATAATAATATACGATAATCGGATAATAGATATAATAATATGCGTCGTATATAGGTATGTAAATGGTTACAACAACGTGATTACAATAGTAACCAACGCATATAATTGCATATATACATCGTCTACGATACTCAGACGTGTAAAACCGATGATCCTTTGACATGATCACGAATATTTACCTCGTTTATATTATATATATAGTATATACACATGTATGCGCCCTACGTGACTTTATACATAATGTTTGGAGTACCAAGTATATCTAAAGTAAATTAATAGGCATTATTAATTTATGACTTCACAAGACCAAAATAGAAGTATACGTGATATATCTATAGATCTAAATTTTGCACATAGAGTATCCTTTATTATGTTATAATATATAAAGTGATATCAGTTTATACTGATAGTAAACGACCGACGGCATTTAATTCGATTTTAAAACAACCACAAATAATTCAATCATACTGTATTGTATTATATTATATTAACGTCCAACTGCAACATAAACAAAGTTTTTTACAAAGTATTTTATCAAGCATAATGTTCACCATATTTTTTTGCCGTAAAATTTATCATCTGATGCTTACTTATTATAGTTACTAAAAAGTTAAAATTGTACACAGCAGTAAGTATTAGCGAATATAAAAGTTATCAAGTGTAAATTTATTAAGATGTAATCTACTGGATATTTTTTAAACCGTGATTTTTATAACTTATCAGTTTCCTTCAGTCGTAGGTACGATAAACCTTATTTTTAATTTTATCATACGAGAAGTTCGTATCAATTCTTATTTTATCCAATAATTATTTTATTTTATTTTTTTTTGTTTTGTATTAATATCAGCATTTAATTAACACTTACATACAAATTGTAATAAAAATACTATCTATATAACTGGTGACTACTTGAATAAAATAGGTACGTTGCGTACAATACGTAATTGCAGATTATGCTTATCCGACAATTATCACTTATTTCAGATTTCTATTTCTACTTCCGGAATAATTGTAATTATTGTTATTTTCATAGCGCCAAAACTGCCGGGAAAAAATATATCAGCTTAGCTACAATTAGATATTGTTTAAAAATAAAATATTATATAGTTTTAATTGTTTGTGTTCGGTTTTTTTGTGATAGTTTTTCTGACCTGTAAACGAAGACAGTGTCTTTCAATTTCTTTTCTGTACAGCATTTATACATTAATCCATATTCCCTACAGCCTATGGAGTAATACAGTATGCAAACATATAACAAATACATTTTATTACCGTGATTTATTTTTCTGAATGTCTTTCAATCCTAAAGACGTTTAAAAAAAACACGTTATTTTTCCGAATATAAGACTAAATTGAACCAAGGCTGTCCGTTCCAAACCTAACATCGCTTAATTAAATATTAGGAAGTACACTTTGACTGATAAAACGATTGAAAAGTACACCATCTCTCTTAGGGTTAAGTACAGAATAACTGTATTAAATGTTGCCGAATGGTATAAAAGGGGGGGGGGGGATAGACAACCTTGTTTGAATGGAAGGATAAGTGAGTGTTAAATACATTTGAGTATTATGATTTGGAAATTATATTGTTCATCATTATTTTAGGTTAATTAATTTTATTAAATGTACTATGAATATATATTTTTATTTTACCTAGTACTCTTCTAACTTCTACTAATTGTTAATTGTAGCCGATATTTACGTAGTAGTTTGTACATAAATAAAACCGTTATTGTACGACGTAGTTTCTCAATTCCTCGATACCATCGTCTGTTTATAAGCATAATACCATAAATTATTTTTGATAATATTATTATTGATAATAAATCAAGTGCTTGTGTTTAATAGGTTACGGTGTGGAGTCCAGGCCCCCACAGTTCTGCTTTAATTGCTTGGGCGGCTATAGGTATTTTTTGAATTTCAATTTGCCCTTCCAAATAATATTTAATTAGAAGCCATTGACTGTATACATTCAAAAATAGATACGCAGATACGTTACACTCACCATATTATTATAATATATTATAGTGTCGAGTCCGTTTCGGTGCAGGAAACGGAATTTGCAGACTATACTATCATATTTACACCTACACATTTTTATATTGCATCATACAGACGGTGCAGCATGTTCGGTGTAACAAGATTTTCTTTTATACATAATATATTATGTAGTTTTCGTTTTTATAGAACAAGGTCTCTTCAATCGATAAATATATTATTATGTCCACAATATCATGTTCTGTAGTTTCCCATTACAATAATGAATAATTGTATGCAAAGTGTACGCCGAAAATCCGCGTGGCCAAGACGGTAATTAACCAATTCACACAATAGTTGAGTTGTCGGGTAATCAGTAAAAAAAAAAAAACGAATAAATAAATGAAAAAAATGGTAGAGGTAATCGGTGACCTTACTGTATACACGCATAAATCGATTACACAACATACCAATATAGCTCGTATATACTAGTTAGTGAACAATTATATTCTATTATGTAGATATTTCGATTTATAATTTGAATTTCAAAAGCGGTTAAGTCAATATAAGTTACGTATTTCAAATTAAGATGAACGGATTGAAGTGGCATAGAAATAATGTTAGGTCACTACTTCATTCATGAAAACTTAAAATATTTTTTACTAGTGAACTATTGTACGTAGATACTCGTTAGAAATTTGATTTTGATACATTGGAATAATACAAAAAATATTCTGATTCAGAATAAGAAATTAACAATTTAAATCGTCAACCAAAAGTGTGAAAATATAAAAAAATTAAAGTTTCGAAAATAGTAAAAATACAATTTTTTCAAATCATACGAAATATTTTTTTAAAACGTTAATAGTTTTTAAAATGATGATTAATTTTTTATAATATATAATCCTCGGATAATAGAATATTTATAAATTTCTTGCGGCAATGCTATATTAATCGAATAGTGGTTTGATTGCTAATTTAATAATGAAGAGCGTAACGATGCCAAAAAACTGAATTTTAATTAGGTACAAACGAGCTATGTAATAAAACGCAAATATTGCTTATTATTATTATTATTATTATTTCATTAATTAAATGAATGTACTCTTCGTGGTCTTATAATTAGACAAACTTAAAAATATTCTTCAAAAAACACATATTTAAAAATAAAACAAAATATTTATATTGCTTTAATTGAAACACATCCATTGTCTATATGCAATTAAAATTTCATTATTTCTATGTTTATTAATATTTGAAAGAAACTTTTATGAATTTCTCGAATTCAAACCAAGTTTATAGGAATTTAAATTATACACAAATTTAAATAAACTGTAGGTACAATTAAAATTTAAATAAAAAAAAAAATTAAAACTTTTAAGTTTTTTTTAATTTGTAATGTTATCTATATTGTTTAAACTTTAAATTATTATTTGTAAATAAAATAGGCGTGAATCTATTTTCAAGTAAGTAAAAACACTGTTTAAACAAATATGTTTCAAAATCGAATTATGTAAGATAATTTCACTTTTTATATATTTATTTTATCTATATATTATAAAAAAAATACAGTTATAAAATATAATAAACATGATATTTCGAATGTTCGTTTTGATTTTCATAAACATAAATCAAACAAATATATAAGCAAGGATTTAAGATGCATTATACTTTGGAACACTAAAAACACTTAAGCTTTCAATACTCAAACTCAACCATTCTCACTTTAAACTAATTTTAATTAATATTTTATAATTTATATGGTTGTATAAAATATTTTATTTTAGTATAATTTAAAATAATAATAACATAAAAACTACTAAGATTAAACAATAATCATATTTTAATCATTACAATATAGACACTAATATAAAATAGCTTATATATTTTATTTACCTCGTACGAATATGTTAATCAACTATGTTAATATTATTAATTATTGAATATACTTCAATAATTATTTAATAACACCTTGTATCTTATTGAACTATTTAAACTATATTATTTATAACTCCCATTCTCACACTTTATCATATTGTAAAGGGCATTCTAATTTAATAAGAATTTCACGTTTTTTAATATTAAATCTTTTATTTTATTTTCGAAATTTTTTTTGAATATATGCAAAAAATAAAGAATAAATATAAATATTTATAAAAAAAATTATTATTTATTATTTAAACAAAAATGTTTTATGAAAAATAC